TGTGTGTGTGTGTGTGTCTCTACATGCCAGGCCTTCAGGTATTGATTTAGGACAATTTGAAACTGCACCTACGTGCAGAGACAAGCAGTGAGGAAGGAGGAGACATGAGCAATATACAGAGAGATAAAGGAGTCGCGCATCTCTCATCACTCTGTCGGGAGTGAGTTGGCAAGCAGCTGTGGAAGGCCTGCCATTCAAACTAATCTGGGCTGCCACACACACACACACACACACACACACACACACACACACACACACACACACACACACACACACACACACACACGAAACCCAGCAGTGTCAACGTCCCGATGAAGAGTCTCATTTATCCACTGAGGAGACATGGCACAGATAAATATCCTTCATGTGGCCTCTCGGTCTTTATTACTTTACAGTTGCAAAAAATTTTTTTGTGCGAGCCAGAAAACATGCTGCAAACCAACACGTGGCCTACTCCGTCTGGCTAGAAGTGGAAAAAATGCAGAGGGAAAATAACAGGGAAGGTTTCACTGTGTGTGGAAATATGCACAGTTCTCTGCAAGTATACTGAACACACACAGTATATGTATGCTAGGTGTGTGTGCGTGCACGTTTTCTGCTGGTGACAGCTATGTGGTGTGACCATGATGTAGAGAGATAGTAGAGTATTGTGTTACGGACAGAGGCGAGCACCCGCCCTGTAGAGATTCATCCCACCTTAAACCGTACCGTACACCCCAACACACCAGCTGCTCACTGGGTGACAATGTGGCTTTAAAACTGTACGACAGCTCTTTGCTCCCCCAGCTTCCTGTGAAACACTTTCCTGATTATTTTATGGTCTCAGTCGGTATTTTAAGGTCTTATTCAAGACAACATGACATAAACATTTTAAATTCAAGTCCCCACTAGAGGGAGAAAGCACCATAAAGGAGGGCATGCCCAACGTGACTGACAAGCTGCTAACCTGTGAGCGTGCACAGTCTCTTACACCTAATCATATCTGCTTCGCATCTTTATAAACATATTTGTGGAAGAGGATGTGCAAGAAGGATATATCGCTGGGTTTTACCACAATATAAATGTTTTTTTCTACCCGTTTGGCGATAGTACCCCCCACCCGAGCCTGAAACCAGGTGCATCTCCACTGCAGCCTACACACACCTGAGCCTTAGGGCAGCATTCTTTCAGTGCAGTCGAGGTGTTTAGATGTGCCAGCATGTCACGTCTTGTTTGGCTGGGTTTAACTGAGTGTATAGCGTGACACCCAGTTAAACCCAGGGGGCAATATATTCATACATATTCTTAAATCCATGCAGTGGGTCAGAAATTGGGCCATTTAGAAATGTAAAACACAACTTTTTATTAATGCCGGCTCACCTTTTCCAGAATTCCCCTGCTGGCTCTTAGTTGCCGCATCCTGACTTTGCCCAGCAGGTGGAGAAGAAGGCAGATGAGGGGGCGGCAGAGGAGGTGGTGGAGGAGGGGGAGGAGGAGGAGGTGGTGGAGGACGGAGTTCTTGGTGGGGAGAAGTCAGGTCCTGGCTGACTGTTTGGTCTCCTTGTCCCAAAGCAGCTCCTAATACTGTGCCGGTCTCTCTGGTCTGGCTCTGGAGGGGCAGAGGTGAGAGGTCACGACCACAGAGCGAAGATCAGAGAGAAGCAGTTACAGTTCGGGTAAATATTTACTCCTCAGCTTTAGCCATGGTTGGTAACCACTCTGAAGCATGACAATAATTTACTACCAAAGAAAGTACATGACTCACTGTCACATGACTGCCATGACCCACACATTTTCGGTCTTATTTAATGAAGCTCGTAGCTTTTTTTCTTTATGTATTTTCTTTCAGACGATACACAGCGAAATAAAACAGAGTTCAACTGACAAATTAGAAGTTTGAAAAAGCAAACAGTGAATCAGCTTCCTCACAACTCCCCCTCCCTTGAGCTGTCGCCTTCACGGGCTCACAAAACACACGACGTTCGACGAGCATCGAGATGAATGCAACGCTTAAAACTGTGCTGTCGCCGCGCAAACAAACTCTGAGCGATGCTCTCTCTCCAGCGGCTGGCACGATGCTAAAACCAAGTGAGGAGAAAGATCTGGCAGCGCCAAGCAAACCAATATTTAACGAGGCCCGTCGAATGAGAGGGAGCTCTTATTTATAGCAATGCCCTCGAGGGGCAGTAGTAGGGAGGAAGAGCTGACATCCAAACATCTACTTAAACTGGAGCTGCTGGCTGAGCTGCTGCTACGACTGCTATGACGAGAGACGCACCAAACAAAGCTTGCTAAGCTTCTCCGCAACATGCAAACTATTGCATGTTGGTCACATATGGATTATTAAGTTATTATGAAAACAGTTTTTCTGGTAAAAGTCATTTCAGTTATGTTTAGTTACCTTTATGTCCTGAATGCCTCAGAACAAAGTCCACAATGCAAGCCAAGACTGTCAACTAAGTTAAGACTCGTTAAAGCCACTTTAATCAACAACGATAAATACTTCAGATGAACAACAGATGAAGTGATTGTGTCTGACATCAAAGGGCTTATCTTAAGTGGGAAAGCATAAGAGACTTAATACCCAACTCTAAAGTATTTTGAAGTAGTTTACAGGGATGGCAGGAAGCCATTTTCAGCTAAGAATCTGCAAACAAATAGCAGGGAGGACAAAGAAGTTAAAGAGTGTAACGTTCGCCTCAGGAGCTGCTTCAGATATATTAAGACTGTATATAAATAATGGCCAATGCCACTGTGTACTACAAGCCTTGAGTTTAGTCTGTGCCCATCAACATATTTGCTTTTCAAGTCTAAGGTGACAATATCTGTAAGAGACCATAGAGTTGGAGGGTTATTAGCTAACGGTAGCATTGGCAACCAAGGGGGCGGGGATGCTATTTTAGGCTACCAAAAAAGAAAAAACAGGCTTAAAACACAATGTAGTTACTAGCAAAACTTAGCAGACAAATTTTGAACAGTGTCTCTTGGCATAACCAAAGCTGAACAAGATGAAACCTGTGCGACGCTAATTACGAGCAGCTTTAAGGCTCCCTCACAGGGAACTGAGGCTAAATTATGAGTGTTTATGAGAACAGCAGTTTTGGCATTTCCATGTTGGTCATTTTCTTCAACACAAGTGGCTGCACTTGGTTACACCAACGCAACCCCGATAAACAGAATAAATATTAGACATGCCTTCATCACATGGCCTTTGATGCTCATGCTAATGTCATCTGCTGGACATGAAAACGGGCGAATTTGTGCTAACAAGCTAGTCGTAAAAATGTTATAAGGTGATAACAAATTAATGATGGATTTACAGCTTAGCTTTGGAGGTTGCCTACAGGTTTATGGAAAAAGAGAGGAAAAACATTTCTATGATTACAACAGATCCTCACCAAGTCTGCTGTTTATAAGGTGACGTTAACGCATGCTTTGGTGAAAGCAGAACTTTAACATGCACCATTCCTGCGCTACAGACTGTCGGCCTCGAACACAAACAACACAGTTTGTGAATCCCAGCAGAACCCTCGCGGTTATGAAATATTACCCCAGCCCAAAACCAGCTTTGCAGTCTGTCAGGATAATGCACTGTTTACGTGTTTAGCTGGAGAACTACGTTATTCTTTTGTGTACACAAAGCAGGGAACTCACCGCTGCTGAAGATAACTGAGTCACAGAAGTTCAATCACCAGACTTGAGGCTGTTGTTAAGTCGTTCTTGCCAGTAAAATAAGTTATTGTGTAGTAACAAACCAGTTAACACACTCGCCTTTATTTTAAGGTCCTGCACTTAAGGCCAAGGAGGAGTATTTTCAAGTTTGAATTGACGGGATGATCAAACACCCATCGGACTTTTCACTTAACCAACTTAGTTCAATAAAAATGCCCTGAGAACCATCCAAATCCATTTAATGGGATAACACTGTAGCCCTTATTGAGGTCAAGTCCTATTTGGTAAATAAGGTTACAAATAAAGGTTTTTTTTCTTAAGTATGACCAGGAAATGTATTAATGCACTAAAAGCAGAAGTACTCAAAAGAAAAATGGTCCCAGTGATTGTTCTATACTTTCATAGAGTGTTTACCTAGTTTACTATAAGCTGCAGCTAATGGCTAATGAATTGAATCAGAGAATCAATCCATTTGTATAGAATTATATTAAAAAACTTCCCCATGAATTGTCATTTTGAGGTTTTGCAGACACAAACCATGCAACATTAACTTAACCCCCCCATTTTTGGACATGTGACAATCATAGTGACAATGTAGGATCAAGTTAATGATCTGGCAACCACCTGTTGCTAAGGAAAACGACATATTCCCCAAATGGGTGGCAGAAACCTCCTTGCGATTCCTTTGGTCACTAGCATATTGCTGCAGTTGCAATTTGATTGGGAGTTACAGACGTGTCCACAAACACTGTCCAGCTACTCTGCAAGCTGCAGTGAAACTGGATATGAAGACGTTTCACCTTCAAAGTAAAAGCTGTCCCTTATGAAACATGTTGGCTGCAGATTTATTATTGCCCGACTAGTAGTTAGCGAATATTTGCAGACAAACATGAAAAACTACAGGCAATCAGTAATCGCTGTTCAGGCCTCTGAGTTCCCTAAACTGTTTTTTTCTAGTATTGGATCTGGATGATGTCAGTTAGATGGGCTATCTACAACATGGTCATCTCGGGCCCTACCCACATCCTGTTCAAACCAATCAGAGGGAGGGTGTGTTCTGGTTTCACACGGAGGATGAACTGAGGTTCCAGTATGAGGTAAATAAGGATTACTTTGAACTGTGAATCATGCAAAGCTACTGTGATAGAATCCCAGAATAAAAATGTGAAACTGTAAATTAGCATGAGAAGTTCATTTTAAGTACAGTAATGTGAAAAAAAAAAAAACAGTGGGAAGCATCAGCTCTTTAACTGCTGTTATGTCTCCCGGTTCCTCGGAAATTCCCCTTATAATGCTGAGTCATAAAATGAAACACAAAAAGATTAGTGTTACGAGACTTCAGCTGATATGCTCTGATGATTCTTCAAAGGGAAAAAGCCAAAACATACTATAGCCTAAAATCAAACAGGCGGTAGATCTGAAAACAATTAAGTGTGCTACTGCCACATCCGCATGCTACTCGGCCAACTTCTGCTCCATCTGCAGACTGCAAGTGAGGGGACGGAAACTCAGACTGGAGGTACAAGAAGCAAAAGCAGCACTCACGAGAACAACAAGAATAAGCAAGATTATGAGGCAGGAAAGCAGAAAAACAAGGAGTGTGGAAAGAGACCTTCCAAGTAATTCAAAAAAGCTGCAAGTAGCACAAAAAAAAAAAAAAAAACCCTCCTGAAAACTGTAAAACTCAGACTGGGAGCTGACAGCTGCCCCTCCTCCCCCTGCATTCAGAAACCAGCTCGACTCTGCTGTTAATTCTGACACCAGCTTTGTTTTTATAGACGTATAAAGCTCTCATATAATGAGGCAATTATTCAGGTCTGTGCAGGACCACCAGATGTGGGCAGCATACTGCATTTGCTGTTTATACCAATGAGCAATTGCTGGATCCTGCTGGAGAAAATCAAATTCCCGACCACTGCTCCCTCCCCGGAGTTGCTCAGAATCCAGCTGCTTTGTGTTAAAACGAGATCATGAAAGTTGGCTTTAAATCCTGGAGGAGGAAAATACTGGAGTGGCACTAAGGTCTGTCCTATGTGTAGTTGAGAAAAGCAGAAATGCTGTTAATCTCACTAATAACAGTTTTTCTGTGCATTCTGTGAATTTCCCAACAAACATTCATTAAATTCAATCCTGTTTTTAAAGCTTCATTCGTTTTTGGCCACTTGGGGGCAGTAGATCAAGTTGTAAACAAAAGAGCAACAAGTTAGTTACCTGATGATTGCAAACAATCCGAGTCATGTTAGCTTTATTCTCTGTAGATGATAAAAGCTGCACTTTGGGCCTTTTCACACCTAACTCGCTTAGTGTGGAATTTTCTTTGGCATGAACTGAAAATTATAGGTGTGAAACTTACCACAGACCATCAGGCACCAAACAGCCAATCCTGAGACTGACAAAGAGCTGGATCAAACTGAACCAGGGTTTAGTTTGTTTCCAGTGTCAAAACACTCTTGGATGGTTTGGAACTTTGGACCAATGACAGGAAGAAGAAAAAGGGGCTGTCATCAGCACTAAAAGAAAAGAAATGAGCCATGGCAGCAGAGGTAGGTCATGTAAAGTCCTTCGGTGTGCTCACATAAGCTCTTTGAACTAAAACTACAAGGATAAAATCTATGCAGTGTAACAATAAATAAATGAATAAATAATCATGGTATGGACTTTCAGGTTCACCAACTAGTGGTTAATTATGTAGTTGAAGTTTGATGTCAAGCACACCAAAGAACTGTAGCATGCATTGGTTTAAAATGTCTTTTTTATTTCAAATAATTCTGCCTCTGGAAGTAAAGTTGATGAGAGCTAAAAGAATAAATAAAAACAAAATAGGTTTTGGAACACACGATCACTGGAATAAAGGTGCTGCACCAAAAGCTTCCTTGTGCTTGCTAGCAGACTGCCACGATTTGCCTCCAGTTTGAATGGAATACACCCACTAGCACTAGCTAGTTTGCTAGCAGCGCAGTAGTAATTGAAAAGTTGTGATGTAAACTGAAAATGGAGACAGGTCGCCTTCAAAAGGCACTACTCTTACTTTGAAGGCAAACAATCTCCATCTTTATATGTGTCGCACATTTCAGTTTCGCCATAATTTAGAGAGTAGTTTGCAGAAGAGTCTGCATCTTCCATGCAGTCTGCAGAAAAATGCACATTTTTCCCTAGCGACCAGCGGTTGCCAGTTGGTCTCTAGCCCTTTGCTACTGGGGCCTTAATCACTTGAACCCTACACTGTGGTGCACAAAAATGGCTGACAAGTTAGCGTCACATGACTGATGGTCATGTGACAACAAAAGCCCCAAGAGCATGCTGGCAGGCTTAGCTTCAAAAGCTCGGCAGACACAGTGCAGTTCTTATTTAATCTGTGCACAGCATTAATTCACTATATTAGTCTTCCTATGCAGCAATAACCTGCAACATCTATGTTAACACTGCATCAATCAATAAACCACCCACCAGGTGGAACACACAACACATTAAGTCTCTGTTTAGTATAGATATAAAGACAGAACAGCAGTCTTATGCTGTACAGTTGTAAAACTTAAAGTACAGAACTGGCTTTAATAGTTTTGTTGTATTAATTATGAGTGTACAGCAGCTGTATTAATAGGCAGTATTGTTTGGGGGGGGTTATTGTTTCTTTTTAAGAGTTACCAAAGTATATTAGAGCCATGACCTTTACATATTAATAAATTCTTAATGAAAACTCATATTAGTGCAGATCAGAGCTTTAAGTTAAGGTTTTGTGCATTTTCCCATACCACTGATTATGTGGAAATTTGGTAGTGGTTACGTGTTTTTGTGCTCCTAGCATTGTGGCTAGCATAAACCCTGCTTTCAGCTATTGTGTCACATGTGGCAATCCACACAAGGCAGCAGCAGGCTCAGCTGAAAAGCTGCTATAATGTAGATAATGCACATAAAACGCCATCATTCCCTTCAGAGCTCCAAGAAAAGGAAAGACAGATAGAGAGAGAAACAGAAAAGAGGAGGGAGAGAGAGAGGGAGAGAGCATTTATAACTTCCTGGGGATTCACTGGAGAAGCACACACACACACACACACACACACACACACACCACAGAGGGTTGATTTCAGCATAGAGAAATGTGCTGACCTGCACTAAGCAAGAGCCAAGGGCAACAAAACACTAAATACAAACGCTCCTCTCTGAGCTGGGTACTTTCCCTTCAGTGCTTACACATGTTTAAAACGGAGTGTCTGCCTGCTTCTGAGAGAGCGTATGCTGTGTGTGTGTGTGTGTGTGTGTGTGTGTGTGTGTGTGTGTGTGTGTGTGTGTGTGTGTGTGTGTGTGTACGCGCGCGCGTGAAAGAAAGAAACAAAGTACCCAAACTACACATTTATGATTCATTTCAAAATAATCCCTCAAATCTCTGCAACACTATCTCAGTTGTTACTGTATCAGCTGGTTAATGAACCATTTTGGGAAATCTCCTCCAACAGACTCCACCTTTCATTGCAACACATCCAAGCTGACAGACCACATGGTTGTAATCATTTTAGCACCAATATACAATATTTATGGCTTTATGAGTGTTGTTAAGAGATACTGTTTGTTTTACACAAAGTGCACTTTTCCAATTTCTAATCATTTGTCACTGGATGGGGTTTGGTCCATCCTCAAAAGCCAGGTTGACGGTTCAAACTCCTTGTCCTGCTGACTTGAAAACTAGAATATAACTGACATGAAAATTGATAACACATGTGCTTGATTTCCTTAAATTACTATGCAAAAGTCTCAAGCCACCCCCCTCATCTCTTTATATTTTGCTTCCAAGGAGCTAGACGGTCTTGTCATGTTTTAAAGTGATGTTGAACAGTATTTCTCGAGGCTTTCACGTTATTTGTTCCCAGTTATTTAGTTGACTCTATAAAAAAAAATGCCAAAGACAACAGAGTTTGACGGGCATAAAACAATATTTTTTCACAAACAAGGTGAGAGCTACTAGTGGAAAACATGACATGTCTCAGCATGGTGTGCTATGTGTCCTCAGAAAATCTGAGCAACCTGGACAGGTGGAGGACAAAATAAGTAGCAGGCCTAAAAAAGCCATCTACACCAGACGAACAGTATCTGAAAGTCATGTCCTTAAAAAACTGAAAGAAAAAAATCCAGCAAAGACCTCAAACAAGACCTAAGAGATGCATCTGGCCCTTCAGCTGTTTGACAAGCATCAGAAATGTTCTCAGTGGAGGATGGCTGTGACAAAGCCATTCTTCAATTCAATTTATATATCGCCAAATCACAACAACAGTACCCTCAAGATACTGTGTATTGCAAGATAAAGAGAAGACAGAAAACCCCAATAATGAAATGACCCACTATGAGCAAGCGCTTTGGTGACAGTGGGAAGGAAAAACTCCTTTTTAACAGGAAAAAGCCTTCATCAAAACCAGGCTTAAGGAGGGGCGACCGTCTGCTGCAACCAGTTTGGGGGTGAGGGGAGGAAGACAGGACAGTCAGATTTTGATCCACCATGCAATGCCATGTGGAAAGCATCTGCAGCTTCAAAAAAGTAAAAGTACAAAAAACACACAACGGAACACTATCAGTCAGACTGGCCTCCCCAGAGCCCAGGCTACAACATTAATGAAGCAGTGTGGGATCATCGAGAATTCAACATAAAGGCAGCCAACTTCAGTCTGTGTTAAAGAATAAATGTGATCATATCAAACAACCTGTTAAAATTATACAAACTCTGCTTTTGACTTATATACTGTATTTCACTGGACCTATTTGCCATTTTTCTAGCACAATATTAAGAAACTGTATATTGTAACGTGTTCTTTCACAGCTTTCACCCTCTTTGTTCAGCTCACAGTGTGTATGGGGGTTGATGTGTACAGCCCGGCACATCAAGCCAAAGAAAACGAGCTAGGATTAGCTCGACTGGTCTCAACATGAAAGATATATTTTATGCCTTGAGCGTCAAAATAATAACATCCCTATGATGAACCCTGAAGCTGCATTTAATAAGACTGTTATATTTATTTCCAATTGCTGAAGTTAATAAATAAATATTTGCTGAATGTTTAAACTTTAACAAGTTGATATAAATCTGATTGATATTGTGCTTATAAAAAGAACATTTATCATTAATTGGCTAGCGACAGGCTAGCGACCTGTCCAGGGCGTAAATCCCTCATCCGGAAGTGAATGGATGGAAAGTTATAGTTAAGTAGGCGTTCACAAGGACAAGTTCACGTTTGGAGGCAAAACCCCCCTCCCCCCAAAAACAAACTCAAATACATTTTGTGTTTGAACTGAAGCTTGGTGTAGTGTTAAACTATTCCTACCTTGTGCCAGCAGGTGCAGTGTGTGAGGCAAGCTTGGCAGGCAGACAGAGGCAGGTAGGCAGCGCTGGCATCAGGCAGAGAGCAGGCAGTGGGAGGCAGGGAGCAGGCAGTGGGAGACAGGGGGGACAGAGGCAGGGACACCGAGTGACGGTGATAGTGGTGATGCGGCTGAGCGTAACAGATGGCAGCTCGTTCACCGCTCGGCCCTGCAGCTTGAGTTTCTCCTCCTCCTCCTCCTCCACTGCTTGCCTGGAACAACAAACACACACAGTACCAGGGTGAAGAGCACAAATATGACTACCTGCAACATGCTGAGTGACAGCGTGATCCATTTATCTATTCATCTCTGGTCTGCACAGGACACAAAAAAGAAATGTGGAACTACCCTCCTGCTTATTTGTAGGAGATTTTCCATCATAATGGAAGTAATTAAATTTAATTTTAGTCATATATAAGAGTTTTTCTGGGAGGAGATGTTTAACTGTGAGATTTTTCTGAGAGAATGTGGAGATACAGAAAGTCTTTTATTGCTGCCATATAATCTGCATCATTATAATTGCATTAATAACATTCTTCACAGCATTATTTCATCTAATAATATTTCTCACAGTATTGATACTGCATTACAGTTGTTTATTGAAGATGTCCATTTGAGGATCCTTCCATTATGTTAACTTTTATTACAAGTACGGTTAGAAGTATTTTATACACATTGCATATCTGTGCTTATTTTGAGTTGATGTTCAGTTCATTAAGGGTTTTAAGCTTCACTGGCGTGACTGTCCAGGTGATACATGCTGAGGGAAACTAGAACATAGAAGGATAACTGCAATGCATGCTTATAGTACATATAATACATATAATATAGGAATGTGTCTGGCCTGAGGCCTCAACTCATTTGGTGTCTTAATATATTTTATTCTACTTGGTAACAGACAATCAGAGTCAATAATTAGTCTCAGAGACCCTGAGGGCTTGAAGTGAAGTTTATTACCTTGTATGGAAGGTGTTATAGAAAAGAGAAGTT